TAGCATCCGTTTTCCTCCCTTACCATTCTTTCCTTTGGATTTTGTTTAAAAGTTTTGTTTCAATGCATGCCATAAACACTCAGGTTTTGAGAACCTTGCATAGCCAAGAGGATGAACACTGTGCTCTTTTCTGTGTGGATTTTTTTCCCTGATAGACAGTATTTTTGTACTATGTGTCAACACTAAGAATATGTTTGACTTGTCATTTGAAAAAGGCTGGCAGTTTAACAGATGATAAATTCACTAATTGAAATTCCCATCTATCTTGTCACTAAATAGTTAAACGCTGAGGCAAAACTATTGGCAGAAACCAGCTACTGAAGCATGAATTAATTTTTGCTGCACTTCCAATGACTCTTGTGGTGTTATATTAAGGATGAATTTGGACTTAGGTTTAATCTCCTCTGGGACTGCTCAATTACGAAGGGCTTTGAGATGGTTGCTCTAGAAGAAACAAGCATTTCTGCCTGCTGGGAGGCAGAGCTCAGTCAGGACCCTTATCTAGAATAAATTTCATTTACCTTTCAGCCCCACGACAGGAAATACCCCATTAGCACATCAGATCCCCTATCTTTGGTGCGGGTTCCTGCTCCGGTCTTGCCGCGAAGCCTTTGCAGTTGGGTGGTGGGGCTGGAGGTGCTGAGGAGCTGGCCGGGAGCCCAGCACGGCTCAGCCCCGGCGCTTGGCAGCCTCCGGGGCTGGTGGGGGAGATGATGGGCTCCGAGGAGGAAAAAGCGAGGCATTTCAGGGCCTTTTGCTAGCGAGAGGGAAACCTGGGGGAGGCAGTCAGCCTTCTTCCCTGGAGGAGGGGGAGGAGGCACGAATAAAAGGTGTGGTAGACGTTGTCGGGCTGCACAGAAATCATCTCCTTGCTCAGTCTGTTCTTAGCAAGCCAGTTTGCTGAAGACCTTATCCACTATCTACAGCCAGTACAGTTAACAGAGAAAGATAAACACCGGGTCGCCTGAAATCAGGCTACTAATAAAAGAAAGGATGCTGATTTAAAATCCAGCCGGCTTATCTCACCTGGTGGTTATGAAAAGTCTGCTTTCCCAACCAACTCGATTATCGGTAAAGGCACAGTGGGTAACTGGCACTGTGCTGCACTAGCATTCAGCTGATGATAAATTAATTAAAGATGCATAAATCATTTGGTTTAACGGAAGCAGAGTCAGAGTAAGAAAACACTGTTGTATGATCAATGTGTCATGCTTTGAAAATTAATCTCTTGCTTCTTTGCACCAGCTTTGCTCCTGTATTTCTACTGCAGGAGGCTATTATCTTCTGGCATCAAAACCATTGGCATTATCTCATAATTAAAGTTTTTTTTTTGTTTTTTGTTTTTTTTTTTTTTTCTAATTAAAGTAATACCTTAAGTTCATAAGTAACTAAGTTTACATCTTCCTCACCTTATTCACACAAGTAGTTGCATTTACTTAACTATGGCCATTCTGATAACGAGGGTGAGCAAGGGATTTGGACAAAGGCTGAATATTTAAACACCTAAACCAGCTTCAGTACTGTCATTTCTGTTACATAATAACTGTAAATGAAAATTCTGTTCTCTTACTTAACTTGTGCTAAAATCAGTGTCATTGTATGTGAACAAAATTTGGTCCTTCGTAGTTTGTGCACTCTCCGTCCCAAAACTTCATATTGGACATTTTAGATGGAAAAATTCTCATCATATTACCTTTGGTGTATTGGAGAACTCTATAATTAGAAGATCAAAGTTACATCCTATTAGAGAGATGCTAATATTTTATGTATTGGTGTTGATGCTATAATAATATTACTAAGTTGTATTTTTTTATTAACATTGCGAATCTAGTTAATTTGTTAGCAGAGTCTCCCATGACCTCTCTTACACTCTGAAAACTGGGAAAGTGGAACTTAAAAAGTTAAAAACAAGCATAGAAAATACATATATATACACATACATAAGATGTATGTTTTTTTTTCCCAGAGTACAGATTAACATAAAAGTAGTAGCTCTTCTTTCTTTTTGATTCTATGCTTCTATAAGATCAGAGTAACTATTACAGAGTACACTGTAGATCTGGTGAGATATTACAATCACAAGCTAACAATTCTTTCTTCTAATTCTGACATAAACCAATTGATGTTTTTGTTTTAAAGGATAGCTGATAATTTCTATTTGTGCGAAGGATGCACTGTACCCCGTTGGCTACTATATGAATTGTATATGGAAAGCTGCAGTCCAAATTTCAAGTATCAAGTAAATTCAGCCACCTTTGGAAAGGTACAGAGTAGATAGGATATATAAGATAAGAAACAAAGAAACCTTAACAGAAAATCTGATGATCTGATTAAATAACAGAGAAGAATGAATATGTAATGTATTATGGTTATGTCTTTTCTAATGTATTTCTGGTAAGCCCTCTTGTAGACATTGTTATACTTGAGAAAAGAGTATTCTTTGTGGTGGACTTTATTTTCTTCAGGGAACTGGTGTACGTTATACTAGCAAAGATTTCTCTTGCTGATATATTTTAGAAAGCTTTACCAGGGTAAAAAGCACAAGGTTAATAAACTTGTCCAGAGAAACTGACTGTCCTGTCCTTAAAAGACCCCTGTGGATGTTACATAATTTTGTATTTTCCTTTTTAAATATACTTACGGAGAATTTTCTCCAAACACACAATGAAAAAGTTTTGAAAGAATCATCCAAGCAAAACAAATGCAGATGTAAAACCCAATCTACTTCAAACAGTTCCACTTTTTTAATACACGGAGGTTGATACAACCCACCGAGCAATTACCACTTAGAAATGCCAATTGCAACAAACACTCATAGATGTTCAACTTTAACAAATTAAGTAAGATAGAATGCCTCGTGATTATCTGTTGCTCGAGACTTTTTGCTCAAAATTTCTCGTTTTTACTGCTAATAGTATTCTATTAGTGCCCACGGTAGGAGCTACTAAGTGCTTTTTTAACATAAAACCGAAAGAATTTAAGTAAAAATTGTATCTGAAATCAATTTAATTTGTGCCAATAACCTCATTTTATGAATCATTTATCTCAATTCACTTGAATCTAATTTTTTTTACCGGGTAAGTTAAATCACGCTTACTTAAAATTAAGATCTGAGTGAGTGATCCAGTGTGATTTATTACGATAGCCTAATGGATCATCACCCATCAGCCAAGCCCATGGGTAGAATTTGCCTGGCTCAGGGTAGATGTCTGCTGTGAAGCCAGTCACCTTAAAATGTCTTGGTAGTCAATGGAGAGAAATAAGAATTTACATATTATTCCTCTCACCCTAAATGGGGTCATCTCAGGCAGCTCAGATGAAACGTGCCTTGGAACTGCCTGTTATTCTCCATTGACTACAGAGCCTGCAGCAACGAGCTTAGACATCTCTACCTTGTGACCACATAGGTAAGATTAATCCCATCCTGTCTGTACACTTTCAGGTGCCCCAGCATGATTGAGGTGCAACCTGTAAGCTAAGCCTTTCTGTGGTTTAAACTAAGGCATTTTACTTTTAAGTTGGGACAAGCATGGATGAAGCATGAGTCTGGTCACGCAGAAGAGCTTAGCTGATGAGCCATAGCTGCTATAGGTTGGTGCTTGCAACAGTTTGCTCACAGCCTTAACTGACCCAGTGCCTTGCAATGCGAGTTAACACCTCCCAAGTGAGCAAGCGGGGGTGCAGCTCCACGGTGGCTTGAAATGACCTGTCCTTCTGCAGCAGGAGGTGGGACTGGGCAGCAAGAGGCTGGGGAGGGCAGGAGCTGCAGCAACCCTGGTTTAAACTAAAGGTGCACATGTAATTGGTTACCACAGACTAGCTAATGGGCTGAGCTATTGATAATTCATCACGCTGTAGGAGCCAGACTGCATTACATGCATGTAGACTGTAAGGACTTTTGCAGTCAAGCCCCGTGTGAATCAAACTGTGATGATTTAACACACTACTAATCTCATCTGCCTTATACCTCTGCCAAAATACACCACCCTCTCTGTAGGAAGAGGCAGTGGGAAGAAGTATGTGTCTCATGGCACCGAATCCCCAGTTTCATAGGCTGTCCTTTTTAGGAGAATGAGTTTATGCTAAAACAGCAGTTTAAGAAAGGGAGCAGCTGGGGTGGGTACATGCAGAAACGTGCAAAGAGCAGGACCACTCTAACAGCGTTAAAATTGGAGGTGCACGTTCATGTGAGTTGGGGAAAGTTGTTCTTTAGCAGGCCCTTGGACCAGCAAAGTGCACTCTGCACGGAGTCCGAGCTTTGCACTGCTGAGCGGAGGCTCCTCTCACTCCTCACCAACGTTGAGTACTCGATCCTCTGTTCCTGCAATGTAGGGAATGTTAGCTCCAGCTGTCCCGGGTTAGTCTCTGTCTTCACAGAACAGCTCATGCAGAATAATCATAGTGAAGTGGATTATTACTCTGACAGTATCTTATTACTTTGTGGGGCCTAACCTTAACAGATGCTGTGTGACCTCACTTTGCATTTACCACCATGGTGGTCAAAGGTTGTTTTGCAGCTTGATGCTTCAGGTCCTTTTAAAATAGATAAGCCAGGCCCTATCCTGAAAGTACACCTTGCAAGAGTGAGTGGGTAGGTGAGGTCCCTTCTGTAAGTCCTACTCAAATGAGTAAGGCTCGCAGGACTGGCAGAGTACTGGAGAATCATGGCACCTCCGAGTTCCCCGAGCTGATATACCCCACCTGGCTGTGGGTGGTCTCCTGGTTTGTGCACTGACCGTGTTTCAATGCAAGGTAAAACAGACTAGTCTAAAAAAATTCCTACCTGAGGAAGGTAATCCCTGAAATTACTTAACTTTTGATCTGCAAAAGCCTGACTGAGTTCAGTTCAACAGTTACCATTTGAGAGGTAAGAACAGGTATTAGCCTGCAAATGATGGAAAGCAAAAGAAGTGATTAAGTAGAATAAAATGTAGCCGATATGTTTTCGCATTTTAGAATTAATTTGCCAAGCATCTCTAATTTTCTGTTTGTTTTTTCAGCTTATTCGATTAGTTTTTCCAGGTCTGGGGACAAGAAGGCTGGGCACAAGAGGGAGTACCAGGTATTGGTTTTGCTTCCTTTGTTTAAATAAGTTATTTATAACTGCTCTAATACAATTTTTAAATGGCTGGATGTTCAGCTCCAGCACTGTGATACAGCAGCTGAATTGTTGATTGAAAGATCCAGTAATTGTGATTCGTGATGTTACCAACTACATTAAAATAGAGTTAATTCCATGAAAATTACCACATCAGAGCTGTTTTGGTAGGGCATAAATTCCAGATCAGATTGGTTTTTAAAAAATTAGTGCTGCAATATGTACTGGCTATTGTACTGTACAGCATGGCTTGCATGAAGCACCTGCCAGACATCACAACCTTACTCAGAGCACTTGAGACACCAGGTCAGGAAAGCCCGGCTCTGGGATGCGTGGGGGTGGCAGCCGTGACTAACGTCTGTGTTGTGCTTTTCATCCTTGCACATAACTGTGGAGTGACCCAACATGTACTGGTGGTCAGTGGAAATATCGTGAACAGTTGAAAACCATTTAAATCAGACCACCTCAGATTCTCCTCCTACATGTCCTTTCTTTTCCCTTCCCTCTCTTCTTCTAGAGCACAGAGTTCGATAGTCTTTCATTGATTCAATGTCCAAACTTATAATCACACTCTGAATAAAGAGGCTGGAAAAAGGGATGTTTTAAGGGCATTGAGACACAGTAATTTTACAAGCATTTTGAGCAGCTGTCAAGTACTGGCTTTGAGACTGACATGCCCTTACTCGCTCTGCGACTTTTCTCCACTAGTCTGGACTTGCCTGATCCAGTGAGATCCTTTATTTTGGGAGTGCCTCGCTGCAGACACTCCCAGGCTTCTCCTCATAGCTGGCAGGATTTGGGACTGTGGGTGACAGTCCCCAGCCTCCCTCTCCCCATCAGCAGAAGGTTACCAGCTGCTGGTGGCCTCAAACCCCTTCAGGGGCAGCTCCCCTGGCTCCCCAGGGACCCAGCCTGGGCAAAGCCAGCGGGTAGCACCTGGCTAGCGGGGGCCGTGACTCTGCCACTCCCCCAGGCCGGGATAACCCGTGGAGAAGGTCTGGCAGGTTTCTTGGGTTTTAGCTTGCCACGACCACTGATGGGCCAGCCAGTCTCTAAGATACCACGAATGGCTGTGGAACAACTGCACTAAGTTCTTCAACTTCCGTGGAGGGTCTGGGGTCCTCTGCCAGCTGAGGCTCTGCTCCCTGACTTCTCTAGGTGCCTTGTACAAACCTGTTGCGCCCCACTCACTGGCTTAAGGTTTTTCGTGTAGAAGGAGGTATCATTCCAGGGAAGAAACTGTTAAAAAGAGTTTGTACAGTTATCTTCTGCTGGGGAAAAGAAATTTTCAACAGAATTTTAAAAACAAATGCTTTTTTCACTTTGTCTTTTCTTCTTTAAATAAAATGATCATCTGCCTTCGAAGGAGGAATATGAATTATTTGCTGATTTGTTGAAAATCATGGTTGTCAGTTCATCTTTTTCTTCAATTTTCTAGATATCATTATGACGGAATAGCTATCAAGAAGAACTCTTCCTTTTATGCACGTTATTGCTCCCTTTTGTGTGAAAAAAATTATCACAGGTTTGTTTTTTAAAATGTTTTAATCATAAAATGTCACGACAGTCTATATGTTGTCTGTACATAAAAGTCTGTAAATCATCTGTTGAACATTGACAACAGGATTAGATTATTATTATTATTATTATTATTATTATTATTATTGTTATACTACACACAGTAGAAGTACTGTGCCATTAAGTGCTGCACCCTAATAGAGAAGCTCCATTTTGAAAATGTGCCCTGCCTAACCGGACTTCCTTGATTTGGACATTTTAGCCATGTAGATGTTAAAGCAGGAACTCATGCCAAATGTAAAATATATACCAAGACTCTAATATGTATTATATATTAATATGTAATATATTAATACATTGAGACTCTAAATGGGAGCTCAAGTAAACACATTGAAATTGCTTCATGACATTGTAGCACTTTCCTTATTAAACAGTAGGCTGAAGAGACATGTATTAAAGTATGAATGTCTGCACTGTTTTGAAGAGCCCTACATGTTATCTGAGTTTTTTCACTACTTGAAACAATGAGGCATAGTACTTTCAAAACACTTCCCTCACTTTGTTTTAAAGTGTCAGGTTTTAAAATCACTTCTTGTAAGGGAACAACAATGAGAAAATTTATAAGACAAGTATAAATTGATTGAAAAAATTAAAAGTCCAAAAATAATTTATGAATATAAGACACTTTGGCAGTCTAAAGCTTAGACATGAGCATGGTCCAGTTGTGGGCAGGCGAGGAAAAGTTCTCATGGTTAAGCTCATGCTTGAGATAAACCACAGGCTTGCATTTCTCTCCAGAAAACAGGATGGGAAGTGCTGCCATTCCATAACAGTTTTACACTCCTTTTAAATGTACAGGAGAAGAAAAGTAGGTGCAGCCTATGCCTTGGATGATGAAGACCAGGCTTGTATCCTCACTCTTTTACAGACTTGTACACTATTTTATTGTGTATATGGATAAATCCTGTACTTTGTTTTGCATTCTTTAATATGGAGGTATAGCATTTTTTCTATGGCATGAATGTTAGAGGGATACAAGTCAGCCTATTAAGCACCCAGATATTATGGTGGTGATGAAACTGTTTCAGTGTCTGTGGTATTTTATATTATAGTGATTTAATTGAGTGCATGCTCTGCAAGAGCATGGAAAAAGTATACCCAGAGGTTTGTTGCCTTTCTCCATGGGTTTTATAGCAGAGTAATGTTGCAGAAGTCCATAGAGTGACAATGGTAAAGAATGAGACAGGGCAGAGGATCAGGTTCTACAGATGATCAAGTGGCAGTCAGTTGTGAGACCAGACAAATTATTCATAGGCAACTTGAGGCTTGTTTCCCATGAGACCCTTACTGGAGCGATATCCCTCACTACCCATGCACCCAGTATAACTAGAACAGGCCTAAGGTATGACATCCATGACGAGGAAGGTCTTGGCCACCGGTCAAGGAACATTGCAGGTCGCTGGCTGAGACTCTGCTGGTCTTTCTCCTTCAGGGAAGGAAAGGGGTTTCCCTGCGGTATCACTTGAAAACAGCTGGGCATTGTAGGAGAGCTTCTAGTTCTGGTGGTAGAAGAGATGAGAGAACAGAACAATTTGAATTGTTGCTCTTTTTCCTCTCAGCGTAGAAATATGAGGAAAAATTACAAAAAGTAGGAAGAACCAAAGAAGCGATGTTGGCTCAGTCTGGGCCAGGTGCACACACAAGGGCTTCGGCCACTGCTGGGAGCTAGGAGCACCACACATGCCAGCATAGCTGGTGTCCTCAGCCCTCCTCATGGAAATGAGCCGTGTTCTCCAGTGAGCTGGGGAACACTCTGTTGCCCACGCTCAACTGCAGGGGAGCCGCTGCACGGGCTGCAGGCCTCCCTCTCCTCCTCCACCAGCTGCCAGAGGTGCCTGCTCCAACACTTGCTCCTAAAAAACTATATTCAATTTGGTCAAACCAAGGAGAAGGAGGTGTATTCCAAGGAAAGGACTGACACCAACCAGCCATCTAGTGATCTTGGTATAGTTTATTAGGATAACTTTCCAGATTAAAAAAAAAAAAATAATCAGAATATAAAGATCATATTCAGACAAAGATCATTTTTCTAGTTGCAATAGAAGAGCCTCTTAAGTACAAAATTATCTTGTTTGATGCTTCCTTCAGTTAAGTTATAAGAAGTCACTAAGCCGTTGTGTGAAGCCAGACAGCTGAAATTAGAACAGCTTCCACTCTAAATGCAGCCACACATCCCTGTCCCAAGCCAACATGCAGACCCACAACACCTGGGCAGCCGGGTGCCACAGCTACTTTTTAGTGTCTGATAGAGGACAACAGGAAAAAATGGAGAGAACACAGTAAAAAAGTACAAAACATACCCAGAGAAGCATGAGTAGCACGACTTCGAAAGAAATAATTAGGTCACATGCAAAATAAGCAGCAGCTTCAACCAGATAAGTGAGTTTGTTTCCATCTGTAGTGAGTTTTGTACATTCTTTGCAAATAAATAGGAACATATCAAGGAAATACCTTATTTTTACTGTCCTCTCAGTAGGGTTCAGTATATTTGAAATCAGAACTAATTTTTCACGACCCAGTGAAGTTGATAAAACCATCAATTGCAAGTTCTAGATTTTTTTTTTTTTATTTAGAAAAAGAGCAGTGAAAACTTGTGAAAACTTGAAGACTTTTCTACCTGCAAGAACAAATTTTGTTCTCGCAGAGGTAATCATATAATTGTAGCAGGGGTATTTGACCCATAACTTCTCAGTTTTTGAGAGTGTGTTGGTGTGGAAATTTCCAAACTATTGTGAAGGAGATTTTTAATATACCATTTCAGTGCAGTCCAAATGCTGGCCTGTGGGCCAAGCCCCGCTAATGGGATACACTGCTCTGGCTTGTTGCCATTTCCCTCTGGCAGAGACAGGGGATGTCTGTCTGAGCAGTGAACATGTCCCAGATAACTATTCCTCCCTCCCATGCCTGAATGGAGTCCAACATGCAGATGCTTTTTCTGTTGCACCCACCTGAGGAGAAGGTGGAACTGGGAGCCCAGCTGAGAGCCCAAGGCATCCACCCAGCCTGTGGGTTGGTGAAGAAAAAGATGGTTTTAAAACTATGATCCACTCTCTCTAATTACTGAAAAGAATATTTCTTGACCATATTGAGATAGTTGGCAATTGACATGGTGCTGGTAGTGAGGAATTAGGCTTGTGAAGGATCTGGCAGGTTGGCAGCTGTGCTTGTTGGTGTCATAGAAATGGCAGTAAGATTATAATGGTTTGTCTTTGACTACAGAGAAGGCATTTGCCTTTTGATATTCAGCAGGGACTCAGATGTATCCGTTGGCTGGGTTGGAACATGTTCACACGAGGAGTCATGAGGATGCTCTTATATGGCACCTGGGAGTCGGTTTGCTTAGAAATCTTGGATTTTTTTGAAGATATATGTGCCACAGCTCTAATGATAACGTTATGGATGTAATGTAAATAAACACAACTGTAATCAATGAGGTCTCCAAATGTGTTACAGAGACTTAAGGGAATATGTTACTTAGTGATTTGTGTTACAATAGGGTGCCCTCTAGGAATGGGAGCTTTGAGGACGAGCTCTCACTAAAATGGTACTTGCTCTGGCTCTGAGTACAGCAGTGTTAAAAAATGCTAGTGAATTTAGGTTTTGTAAGAGTTACTTTATGATTCCAGTAACAGGGAAGGTTTGGGATTCTGACTTTCTAGTGAAGCAAACACATGATTTTTTTAATAAAAAAACCTGATCTGATTCTAGCAAATTAGCTTTTTTAATCTCAGTGTAATCTGACAGTCAGCAGTATGCACATTCACAACCCCCCCTCCTTTCGTTTTTCCTTTGTCCTTCCCAATCGCCTCCTCTGTTAGTCTTTTTGTCATCCCCACCATTGCATTTCCCATTTTAGCTCTACTTCCCACCTCATAGCATCATCCAAACTCTGCAAGAGATACAGTGAAACTCCTTGTGATTTTGCTGTCACCCGTTTCCCCCTTCTCCCACCCACGTCCTCTTTTGTGTGTCCCATCTTTACCCAGGCACCGCTCTCCGGGGGAAGCGAGCAGCTCTGCCTGGCAGCTGAGCACCTCCGTGGGCACTGGGTGAGTCCGACCCCCCTTTGCTATCAGTGGGAGCACATAGATGGTAGCTGTCCGTAGGTATTTGCACGTCACCGAGCTCCCGGCTGGCTGCTGGGGCGCAGGAGGACCCACGCGTCACCCCTTCCCGCACCTCGCCGTCCCCACGGTGGGGGGAGCGGGGAGCCAGCCTGCCGCGGGAGCCAGCCCGCTGGAGGAGAGCGATGCTGATACACGTTGCCATAGTAGCAGCAGCAGAAGATGCAGCTGGCCGCCTTCTCGGGGAGAGCAGGAGCTGGAAAATACTCATTAATTTTGTTTCACAGGCGTTAGAAACCCGCAGAAAGGACCCATTTGAATGAAGCGTTACGAAACATGACTACTTACATATTCTTCCCTTTGTCCAGTCATCAACTCTAAAATGTCTGGGAGAAAAAGTCAATAGCATTACCAAACATACCCAACGTGAATGTTGTGCCCTGTCTTGGGCAGCCAGTTTGGCTGTTTCGCAGCAGCACCGCCTTCATGGCCGAGAGCAGTGGCAGAGGGAAAGGTAATTTTTCAGGTGTCAGGGGCCAGTCCTATGGGCAGTAGAGAAGCGAGAGGAGACATTTTAAGTGGTTGGCGTTTCCAAGCAGAGAAGCTGTTACATTTCACCCTCTGTCCCCTCAGGACGTATGGTGGTACCCCGGTTTATAATACATCACAGCAGTGAGACCCAGCAGCCAGGATCTGATTAGATAGCCTGAGTGTTGGCAGTCACCAGTGGAAGCACACTTTTTCTACAAAGTCCCTGCTTGTCACCCTTCAAAAACAGCCAAGTCCAAAAGGACCCTGGAGTTTGAAATGTCTTTGCAGACAGCGAGCAGGTGTCAGCAGCAGATGGGGGCTTGACTGGAGGAACCCAGCTCTCACAGCATGTCCCTTTTACTAGCAGCACTGCCTCTCCCTGCTGTAGGATTAGCCTCAGCAAAACAGGCAGGGAGATGGGTAGGAGATGGTAAAGCAAGAAAGCAGCCTATCTTGCCTACATCCCTGGCTGAGTGGTCAAGCCTTTGCAGGTCCAAGTGAATCCTGACCATGTGGAACACCACGGCAGGTTTGCAAAGTAGATGTGGGAAAGTCAAAACCAAAATGCCATCTAAACGGATACAGAGAGCAGAAAATGTAATTACTGTGAAAGCAAAGCACAAGGATCATCATGTTTTCATTATTTGCATGTTTATAATTAATGCTATCATTCCAAATGAACTGTGACTACAAAAACAAACCCACAATTTTGTTGCAAGAAGTTGGAAGACATTGCATGGTTAAATGGATAATACCTTGCCATCTTCATAACGAATGGTTCAGTTTTACCATAAAATTAAGAAATTGGTCTTCAGACTCATTAGAAAATCATGGGGCTGCTGAATGACAGGAAAGAGAGCGAGGTTTCTTTCCCAAACACAATGCTCCAACCTAGTGCAATTTATCTGGTTTGAGCTCATTTTCTTACTAAATACAGAATAAATTGGTGGGCTTTTTAAAGGTTTTTTTTCTGTTGTATATTTTACCACAGTGGAAACGCTTGCAGTTCTGGAGATGCAGCTGGTTACGAGAGCGATAGCCAAAAAAAAAGAACAGTGAGTTTCAGATACATTAGACTTATAACAAAATGTCTGTCTGTGTGTTTAATTAGAACTACTATATAATATGTTCTGATGAAATGCAGTTAACCCATCATCTGCAACATAACCTTTGTCTGTGTAATCTCACTAAATGCTTACTTGCCCCACTCCTATTTCACCTAGTAGCTAAATATTTTGTTGTCTTAGTGTCGGCTCAAATAATTTTTTCTGTGCTGAGAGAGGAAATTGTGGCTGACAGCCCAGGTTTTGTGTATTAACGGAGTTAGTGGGGCACAACCTCCTTTGCCTGAGGCCCACGGTAACAGACCCTCATACTGCTGAGCCAGTGTCTTTTCAATGCACTCAGTTTATTGACACAACAAATATTTAGATACTAGGAAACGATTAATAAAAAAGAGCACAACCCCTGCTCACTGAAAAGGGCAGATGTGAGGCTAACCTGTGGCAGTTCTCCTGTAAGCGTGCTGTCATGGGATGGCTTGACACTGGGATTGTTGGAAGTCAGCCAGCAGAGCATGAGCAACAAACTTATGTGGACCAAAGCAAGGAAAAAAGGAGAGACTGGATGTCTGTCTTATTTTTACAGAGCGGTAATGAGTGCTCTGAAGTGCATGTAATGACAGCTGATGAGGAATGTGCCGTCACCCCGACAGCAGAGCCAACTATCTGCAGCCTTATTTAGAAGGTTACAACTGTGACATGAGTGCTATAGAAAGAAGATATGTGGAAGATATGTATAGCATTAAATATTCACTGGTTTTGAAAGGAAATTCATGTACTGTTTAGGATTTAAATATTTAGTCAGCCATGCTTGTTTCTTTCATCCACCCCTACTTTCTAAAAAAAAGGACAAGCATTCCTCTGAAGAAATACATCTTATTAAAAAATCATGTTATACAATTTCAAGAAAGTACTTAATACCTTTAACAGAACTGACAAGATAATTGTGATTTTTTTTTTTTTATTATTGTTCAAAATAAATTCTGATGCATTGAGAGCAAGAATATGCACTGTTCTCCATCTGTCATTTATCTGAAGACTGAACAAGAGGGATTTCAGTACCCCTGGCCTGAATTCAGCAGATTCTATCTTTGGGAGCAAGAGCTGGGGAAGAAATACCCCTATGACATGGTACGTTCAAGTGTTCGGTCAGCAAGCGAGCTAGCTCTGGACCTGTGTGATCTTATTTTACCCTCTTTTTGGTTACCTTCTCCAGGTTGTACTGCTTGCCAACGAGTATTGCAGCCATTGTCAAGATATTTTACATATGGTGAGAAAGAAAGAACTTGACAAGGTATGCATTTGCTTTAATAAGACTCATTCTGATGACAGCAAACAACTCTAAGGATAAAATTGTTTCTGTGTAGCTTATTTACTTGATGGCTTGATCTAAGGTAGATGATGATTTATAGACAAAAGGAGCATTCAGTCAAATTCTTCAGGAATTCTTAGTTAACACAACATGCTCCTAGAATCTGAGTATGTAGGCATACCCTGAGCACTCCAGGCACAGCAGCCGGTCTCAGCCCAGCACAAAACACAAGGCCATGGACATATATCTTTCATTATATCCACATATCCATGGCACAATTCTTTGTTTCTCTCCTCTTCCTTATGCTGCCTTGCGAGGTTCAGCTTGTTGCCCCAGGATGCTTCCCCTTGCGCTGGAGCTTGGCCAGGACGGGGTCAGACAGGGAGCCCAGCTCCACAGTCATTCTTTTGCTTCTGTGCTTTTGTGTGTTCTCTTTTACTGAAATACGCTTCGCATTTCACAAGTGTAAAAATCAGTGAAAATTTATAAAGGACTTTGTGCGGCAGGTGGAAGACTGTATCATGTCGTTCTGGAGGTCTCTGCAGCCTGAAAGAATAGCACTGATGTCCTCACCAGATGTATGCCAGCTGTTCAAAAGCTATGACAGGCAGCTATTCAAGGTACTGTAGGCACACTTGTTTGTTGCAATTATGTCATTATCTCTTCGTGTCTTTTTGGTAGTTCTACCTGAGGAGAAGGGCCAGCTGTTTTGTGCGTGCTGTACGATGGGATTTTTGTTCATACCTCAAGTCTGTTCTTTGGCTTTTTCTGAGACAGCACAGTATGGATTTTGAAAGGAGCCAGTGGAATTTGAGATAACTTCCATTTTGCTGCCATATATTCCTTTGCAGCTCCCTCATATCAGCGGACTATGCTTTTATAAATGTAGTCTGTGGTTCTGGCATGAGGTTATGTGGCTGAAATGTCGACTGATAACTGTTTTCCAAATTACAAGAATTATTTTTCCTTTGAGAACGTTACTTCATTTCTCAGTGATATTCCACATAGAAATATGCACTTTTCTGATCAAAATAATTCACTTCTTATTTACAGCAGGTCATTAACTAATGTCTAGTAATTAATTCAGGAAATCGTGTTTACTATTAGGATCTTTTTTCCTTCTGCTAATAAATGTATCTTAGCTATTGCTTAATTGGAATTAAAAACCAGGCTTCTTTACATTTAAACTATCAATACAGTTTTCTTTCACGCTGCTGTAAATATCTGTAGTACACCAATCATGCAGCTCCATGAATTTGTATTCTAGGAAATGGAGAACATCCTACTTTATGATTTCCTGGAGGAGGTGCCTGTGCAACACATGAAGTCAATCAGATTATTCAGTAAAAATGTTGAACTCTGGCTGCTTAATGCTTTGGGAGAGTTTCCATTACTGCTCCAAACATCCAAATCTAAAGGTATGTTTGACTAATAGAGAGATTTTCATAAAATAATCTTTACTTAGACCACAGAAAAGATTGTATTACAAGACTCTCACAGAAATTATTTAAAAAACATTTTTAGCTGATGTAACTTCAGTAGTAGTGAGGACTAGAGTTAGTTGGGATACAGCTGAAAATAAATAGTCTCAGATAATATGTGAGAACAAATTTAAGTCAGAATTATTCCCAATTCATGGTAAATGAAAGTGTACTTGAATCTTTTTAAAGATCTGTCTCTTGCCACGATCGCTTTGGCTGTGTAGATGACTAAATAATATGCAGTCTGCCCTCTGAAATTTAGGTATTGTTTTGTCTCTTCACCTTGCAAGTGGTTTCCTGCAGACAAATTAATTAATGGCTTTAGTGCAGTTCAATACAAAGGGAAAAAAAGCCATAGTTCCGTAGGGAAACTATGACTCTGTCATTAGAGGAGGATTTGAAATAATCTGTACTATACAAAGGTGTGTGTATATGTGTGTGTTTGTAAAAATGTACATACATATATTTATATATGATGCTGAAGATTCTGGCTAAAACATAATGTTGCTCAGTTGCTCATTGAGGGAAGACTAACTCCTCAGTGGCAAAGCAGGGCTCGTGTGTAGACAAAAGATCGTATGCTTCGTATGCTCAAGGAAGAGTTGCAGATAGTCTTATTTCAGGCATTTCTTACATTCGAATGCTTGATAGAGCAAACCTAGTAATGTATTTTCAACATGTGTGTGCATGGAAGTATATGTAATTAATCAGCTGTGACCCTCTGTATATCCATACTGGTCTTTCCGGTTTGTACAAAGTTCAGGGAAACAGCAATTTTCATTTGAAAACCACTGCCTGTCTGCAGAAGTTTGTAAGTTGCTTTATATTTGATTTTTCTGTAACTAAGAATCAGTTATTTTATATTTTATTCTTAAAAAGGGTATTCTTGGACCATGCTTGACATAATTACAACACATCATAAATAGGAGAAAATAGAACTAAAGAAACCAACTACTATTAACAGTGCTGCAAAATTACAGATGCATGAAGGTGGATATGTAAACCCTCTAAACAAAATATGGGAAGTTTAGAATTAATGTTGCTTTCATTCACCTTAAACCATACATGTTAAAGATTATTAGTCTTGATCAAGAAGTATTTCATGTAGAAAAATATTGGAAGGATTTTTTCCCATGTGTCATGGGTTAACAGATTTGCAGTGAAGGAAGAGGGGTGACCTGGGCAGCTTCTGCTTGCAAGCCTTAAACCGCGAGGGTCCCCAGCCCAGCCCATAACGCTGGCTCAGTGCCCTCGCTGGGCACCCTGTTAGCCTCTGTAGCTCCCCATGGGATCTACTTTCTAACTTAAAAGATCTGTCTTCATTAATGCCTTTTAGACTGTAAAATATTAATGATATGAAACATCTGCCTCTTCTTCTTTAACAGAAGTTACAGTGTTTATAAAAAGACTCAGGAGAAAGACAGACCTTTCTAACATGGCCAAGGTATGTTCCACAATCCATGAAACAAAAAAGCTGGGCATCTCATTCACTCAAGCAGTTTGGACTGTTTATGAGGTGCTCCATTGTAGGACAACAGCAGCAAGCACAGATGTTCTTAGCTGTATACTGACCGTGGCCCAAATCATGCTCACCCTCCTACCCATCTCTTCCCACACCAAAAATATGCCAAGGGGGCCCTTTCCTCCCTCTGCATTCTGTGAAAGCCTCTGAGATAGGGTCAGTGGTCCCCCATGGAGAGAAGAACACAGTAGGGAAGGGTCAGATGGAGGTATCTGGTGTCTTCGCCCAGCCATGCCAATGCCAGTCAGGTAGCACATGCTGAAGTTACTCTAAAATTGGTTTTATGCAGCGTCCTGATCTCTTTTTGTCGAGTGCTGCAGCAGCCTGCACAAGGGAAATCACTGACATGCTGGCTGCAGTGACACTGCACAGTCAGGGAGCAGGCCACGAAGTCTTTAAGGGCACAAGACCCTCACCTTTTTCATGGATCCCAGGGATCAGCTGGCAAAATCTTCTCCATTCTCTGGCAGGACAGTGTTGGAAGGAGTGCTGCAGGGTAGCGTCCTCTGAACTTTGCTCCTCAGGGTCATCACTCAGATTGGCTTTCTTCCCTTGGGAAGAAGGAGACAAAAATTTCTCTAACAATTACTATATCTGCCTACTTTTTGCTCTACAGTATCATTCTTATCAGCTACAGAGGTGCATCCAGGAGCTGCATTTTTAATCTTTTTTTTCAAAAGAACACTGCAAACTAAATTGTTTCATTCAGTGCTGCATTATTATGAGGGGCTGTACCCTCCCTGCAGCATTGGTGTCCTTGAGTACTTCCAAAACCTTGGTTTTTGAGGTGGTCTGGGCCATGACAGAAGAGATAGGTCATGAATAGGGAAGAAAGCAGAAGAGAACAGGTGGTATATCCTCTCCTCTCCTTGGAACAGCAAGTGCAAGATTTTCCCAACATGCCACCTGTCTTAAATCACTACACTATGTTCCCACAATAAAGGGAAGGAAGGAAGGAACTGTGGCTTCTTGAACTGCACAGCAGTGTCACGTTCTTCCTCAATAAATCATAGAAACACAGAATCACAGAATCACAGAGTAGTTTGGGTTGAAAGGGACATTAAAGACCATCCAGTCCCACCCCCCTGCCCCGGGCAGGGCCCCCTTCCCCCAGCCCAGGGGGCTCCCAGCCCCGTCCAACCTGGCCTTGAACCCTTCCAGGGGGGGGGCAGCCACAGCTGCTCTGGGCACCCTGGGCCAGCGCCTCACCCCCCTCACAGGGAACAATTTCTTCCTTTTATCTAATCTAAATCTGCCCTCTTTCAGTTTAAAACTGTTCCCCTCATCCTATCCCTACACTCCCAGACAGAGTCCCTCCCCACCTTCCCTGTCCCCCCTTTAAGCCCTGGGAGGCCGCTCAAAGGTCTCCCCGGAGCCTTCTCTTCTCCAGGCTGAACCCCCCCAACTCTCTCAGCCCGGCCTCCCAGGGGAGCTGCTCCAGCCCCCCCAGCATCTTCATGGCCCTATTCTGGATCCAGGTCTTTGTCCTCTAATAAGGACATTAGACTTCTGGTCTATGTCCAGAGCTGGATGCAGTACTCCAGGTAGCTTTTTTTCATGCAAAAACTTCATCACCAGCAGCATACAAAACTCATACCTCACTTACTGTAAAAAAAATTTAAAAAAATAAGAACAATGCACAAACATTCATAGGTATGCTAACACAGGCAAAAGGTTGACTTCTGTGAAGTGCTGAGCACTTGCAACTCCCATTTACTGCAGCAGCCCTTGGATATACTAAATACTTGAAAAGCTCAGCTTCACGTGCTTCTAAACAGTGCTTCTTATGCACTGAAGAATGTGATCCAGCAAAACCGCAAGTGCCAACTATTTCCAGTCATTTGCATTTGATTTTCATACTCAGACTTTACATCATCCTTCTTCTGCTCAAGTCATGATGTCAGGGGGTTGGTTGTGGCTTTTTGATTCTTCCCTGCCTATTCCTAATGTCCAGAAAAGCTGCAGAGAGTCAGCATTGAATTTACACCCTCAAGATTTAGGGCAAGAGAATTGCAACCTAGTTGGGGGGAATTCTCTAGCAGCAGCCTCTGGCTGCTTTGCACCCCCTTTATGCTGTTTAACCGGCACAAAGTGAACCTAGCAGACCTGAAACTTGGGGTCAGATCTGTGCTTACAGCTGAGCACATTCTGAGCCTGGTTTTTCTTCATGCTAATGAGCTCTTGGCCCTGTTCTCACAAGTAAATGATGCTTGCACATTCTCTAGAGCCTCTTTAAAATACAAGGGAAGGGCAAAGGAGTTCCAGTGTACCTGATGATTAGTCCCATTGGCAATTTAAAAGCAATAGGTTCAATAAGTGAAATTATGTAAGTCATGTAAATGAGCATCCCCATAGTCTTTCAGTGGTCACATAGGTTCTCTTACACCTTCTGTTAGAGATCTTGCCAGAGCCATGGATACTGGGCTGCAGTGAAACTGGGTAGGAAACAAACGCCGGCTAAATATTCTCCTGCAAACGCATCCCCCAATGCACAGCAGAAGATGCTGAGTTGAACACCACAGCTGTTTCAAATTTTCAGCTTGTGAGAAACATGCAGATGCTTCAAGGGGAAGTGGATGTCCCTCATAAAGGGCTGCTGAGTGTTTTAGTCCATCAGACCCGATCCTAGGCTTGTGTGGACTTGCATCCCTTTTCCCCTGGTACTCCTCTTAAGATGTTCATGTGAAGTGGGTATGAGGAGAGCAATTGATACCTCACTCCTCCTTCATTGTACTCTCCTGGCTTCCAGCAACCTGAGAGGAGGGTTATATCCACATCTTGGTATTCAGTAGCTTGATTTTGGCATCCACATCTTGGGGTAGTGAGTTACAGGGTTTGATTATTTGTTGTGTAAAAAAATACTTCCTTTTATTACTTTAAAATTTCTACCCTTCTTCATGCAACTCTCTCTGAAAACCTCCACTAAATCCTTCCTCGGTTATTTCTATCCGAAGCTGAAGTTTATCTCATCTTCTCACATAGGAGTCATTTGATATTTCTAATCGTCCTTCTCAGTTTTCTCTGTCTAAAATGCACCTGGAATTTCAACTAGACAATGATGGTCAAAGCAGGTGAGAGTGCTCCTAATGAGAAGTACTACGGAGGAGCTGTGCAGCTGGAGCCTCTGAACGATGTAACCACACCACCGCCTGTACAGTACTTTGCAATAACTTAGCCACCTGGTGAGAAAATAGGAACAATTTTGGCAGGGTCAGCATTCAAAAGAAAAAAAAAAAGTAACTTTCCCATCGTGTAGATAAAGTGGGCTGACAGCTGCTACTACCTGGACATGCAGAAGTAATTAGAGCATAAAAAGGTGCAAATTCCCTGCGAGAAAGGAATGTGAATATGATGCTTGTCATTTCCTGGGGCTGATTTCTGCCTCTGGTAAGCTGTATTTAAGTGTTGTCAGAGCTGGCTCTTGGTCATTTATTAAATTATATTTAATATAGTGAAGTGCAATGGCTAAAGGGACCAGCCTAAAACACTGGGGCAGGGAGCCGGGTGCTAGCAGTATACTGAAGGTGCTGCCCCTGGTAGTTCCCAGCGTTCGGGTCGTGTGTCTGTGTTGCAAGCAGCAGCTCTTCCGACACTGAAAACTCCAAGTAAAATAAGAAAAAAGACTTTGCCTTTAACTTAGCTGAAGGAGATCACTGAGTAAGAATCAGAGTGCTTTTAGTATTTTAGTAAAGCTAGCAGAATGATGAAAAATGGCCATATTGGGAATTATGTTTGCAAACAAATGGGCAGCTGCATGCACTGCTGCTTGTGGGGTCACGGTGAGCACTTAGTGAATGGGATTTGTTAAAATGTTCATGAATCCTAAAGTTTTTCTGAATTTTACAAAAAATATTTTTCCTCTGGAAGGCCCAACTAGACATGGATTATGCCCAAAATTCAACAAGGGCTTTAGGATCTTATTGATTTCAGATGGTAGTGAGAGACTAAATGTATGGATTAACAAATTTTAACAGATTTGGGTTTAATTTCCTTCACTGTTTTCATCATTTCATCAAGAATCTGAAGGAATACTGTGTGATATTAGCAATTAATTAAAAAAAAAGAAGTGAAGAGATGAAGATCAAATGTTAGGCTGAAAATTGTTTGCAGTATCTATGTGAGTAATACTTTTGGGGACAAATATAAAGCCAGATTCATTCACGAATGACTCATAAGCAGACAAATGGGATAAAATCCCAACTAAGATTATTTTAACTCATACCATATTTCTAATGTTATTTTTACTTGACAAAACTTGCCTTTGAATTTAATTGAAACATATACTAAGGACAGGTAACACTGAGGGAAGGTCAGCCCAGATACACCATTCCATGTTTTAGACAAAATCCCGTTATTTGGCTTAACTATAATAACTTCAGGCAAAACCAATTGCCCAGGCAATTGCCCAGATCCTTCAAGCATGTTAGCCTCATCTGCTCCATCACAGACAGCAACACAGAGTGTCATTGAAAAGAATATCTCCCAGAACAAAAAACTCTTGAAGACAACTTAAGATTCATCTCCTTCGATTTTTTTTTTTTCCCTCCAATTTGGAGACTGGTTATATAAAGTCTAGTATTGAATAAGGGAAGCTTTTTGACCGAGTTAAGGGCTTGAGAAAATGAAAGGCATTAACTGTTTTCTTATTATCTATAGACAATGAGAACAGTCTTGAACAGCAACAGCAAAGTCACTGTTCTGCGATCAGAATTGCATGCTGTCATCATCGATCAGGGATTTCTGGATGTGCCTGGAAGCCTCTTTCAATCGAAGTTTAGGAATCTAGAGGAGCTGCAGAATGACATCGAACTCAAATGTAATATTATTTTGCTTATTTTCTGTCTATCCACTTAAGCCCTTGCTTGCCATTGTTAAAGCTCCAGCATTTCCTCTTGTTTATTCATGGCATCTGCCCTAATGGGAAATACAGACTTGCCATAACCCGAAGTACTGGAAAAGAGCCAATAAGATTGAGAATGGAGAATGTAATACTATTCTTTTAACTTTCAAGTTTAAGAATGAAAGGCTTTCCATTCTGACTCTCTCTTAAAGCTTTCTATGGCAGCGGGATTTTTGTGTTTTGTGTTACTAAATGATGTATCTTCTAGAAGAAGGTCGACAGGGATATTATTTTTTTACATTTTTCTTTGACAAAAAAAGAAGTTTCCAAGGGTTGTATTTCACATTTTCCTCTGTTATTAATCAAAGTACACAAAATCATTTATTGTGGCCAGATTTTAACATATTGTATGCTGAACTGGATGGGGACTATTGGGCTTTCAGCTTTCATGTCCTTTCTCCCTATTGTGGCCTGTGGAATCAATGTGCTACTGTAAACAGTAAAATACACAGTAGGCAGCCATGACATAATGCATTTGCCAGCTTAATGAAAAGGGATGGGAACATAATGGCAAGGTAATTTTTAGATTAATGGGCTGCCATTTAAATTATTAGCAAGAGACGGGCAAGTTGGACAAGGCGGTGCACGGAACTGATGGGGGGAACCTCAGCCCTTTGTTCCTGGCCCGCCACTGACTCACCCGCTGACAAGGGGTGCGCCACAGCCTTCCCGTGACTCCTTTCAGTAGGAATGATAATTTGCCTTCTTCACAGAACCATCAGAATAACCATTTAAATAATATTTATATACATCATAAAATCAAAACCACTGCACAGAACGTTCTTATTCCATTTGCTCATTATATTAATGATGATCTTACTCTTTCCAAGGTGGATTTATTGCATTCTCTGTTTTCATTGCTTTTCCAAACTGTTATTTATAATAAGCAAGGTTTCGCAGACCCTCTCCATATGCCTTCTTGAAGAAAGATATCTCAGTTAGAAAGGTATAGATTCAGAGAGGTGCCATAGTGATGTACCTTTTGGCACTGGGTGGTAGGTTACAGTGTTTTGGGGGAACAGCTGCACTGATACGTGGCAATATTATCTATATTTCTGTTGGTCTACAGAATATTCTGCATTTTCTGTTATTGTTTTGAAACTGTTTTCTCCCCCTCAACAGATAAACCAAGATTTTTTTCTTCTCAACCACATAAAATCTCAGATAAGTAAGTTGGTATGGCATGTAACCAAATTCCAGCTTTCCTATTGGAAATATTTATTCTTGCTACCTTTGCCATGAAGACTAGGTCAGTGCAGATATGGTGGAAATGGACATAAATGTGAATTCTGACTGATTGCAAAGTAGGGTACTATTTCTCACTAGAGGAATAGTATAATTACATTAATCAAAATGCTACAAACAGATGTCTTAATATATTTTAAGGTAAAGATAAAAGAAAAAAAAAAGAGAAAAACTGCATAAATGAACCAAAAAGAAAGCCAATCACTTAAAGTAATGAAAATACTTCTGTATTTCATAGGTTTGAACGACCTAATGTCCTTGCTGACACCTTACACAGATATTCGGGTTCTCCTGAACTGTGTGTCTTCAAATCTTCAGGCTTTTGTCATTCAGGTATAAAATTAATTTAATAATTTCAGAAAATAAAGAATGAGTATGTAATTTATCCTGCTACATGCTGACTATCACTAGTCTACAGGGGCTACATTGTACACTAGCAACCTGACCAGAGTGCAGATTTGCATCAATACAATTTATGCATGCTGCAGAAAAAAGGGGGAATTAATTGGCATACAAAAATTCCATCTGTGCAAACAAACTACAAGCATATTTCCGTGCATATATCCACTTGGGCGGTTTCAGTATCTGCTCTCATTTCATATACAGATATTATAACAGTTCCTAATAAACCCAAATTCAGAAGAAAAATGTTAGTAAAAATTAAGAGAACACTTCACAATTCCTGAAATTGTTGAGTCAATAAACTGTTCACTTATAGCAGGTAGTAGGAGAGTGATAATTTCTAGAACAATGTCTCAGGTATGATCATCCTCACATATGCACCTTTCCATAGGTTATCAGCTTTATGACTCCTGTTTCATCACTGACTCAGAATTAGCAATAGCTTGATAGTACCACTGCACTTGGGTGATTACCAGGCCAATTAATTTGGGTCTGGGTTGTGGTAGAGTGTTTTTTTTTCTTTTCTTTTCTGAAGAAGCAGGGTAAAATATACTTCTTTAGTTTGATTATTTCTTTTTTTTTTTTTTTTTTTTTTAAATTAAGAATAATACTTTACATTTCTGTTGTGCCTTCATCTCACAGAAGCCTCAGCTGCCTTATGGGATAGTATAGAGAAGATGCAGCAGGGCTTTTCCTGGGGGTTCACATTTATAGGGCATAAGGCAATAGACACAAATTGCAGCAAAGAAAATTGCCAAGAGATAAAAAGAAAAAAAAAAAAACAAGCATGAGAGTAGTTAAGCATGGGAAGAGGTTACCCAGAAAGGCTGTGGAATTTCTAGCCTGGAGGTATTCAGAACTTGGCTGGACAAGGCCTGAACTACGATGGTGACGCTTTGAGCAAGAGGTTGGATTAAATGATACCTAAAGACCCCTTTCAACCTAAGTTATTTTAGGTTTCTAACAAAAACCCTGCTTGTTCCACCTTTGTATGAAGTTTGTACAGGGAAATATTCTGCAACACAATAAGAAATTCTTTTAACCAACTTTACGATACAGCATTTTTTTTTCTCTATCTGCAGCCAAGCAGGAGTAAAGAGGAGTTTAGAAAACTGGCATCGGATTTCCAGTTAAGATGGAACTTCTTACTGAGTGCAGTGAGCAAGGCTATGACCCTCAGCTATGCAGACAGTTTTGGTGAGCAGGATCGTTGTGACTCTCATCTGATACGCCTCGTTCCGCCCCGAGATGGCAGAGGCACCATGTCATTTTAACTGACATAAATTCACGCTCCAGTCAATGCGGGCATCGCTTCTTCCCAATCCCTTCCTCGCGCTGGGCAGCACCATTCACCAGGTCAGGGAAATCAGTTTTCAACAAGATTTGTTTTCTGATCCAAACTCTAGGGTGAGCGGAAAGGAGGGGAGTAGGAGCGTGCAGCCGGAGATGGCGGGAAGGCCAGGACTCCCTCTTGGGGCAGAAGCCATCCTTTGTCCATGGAAAAACGAGGAGCAGCAGCCTGAGGTGTGAGCCTCTGCTCCCCCTCTGTACAAGAGCTGCACGCCCCAGCAGAAGGGTGTGATGGAGAGCTGGGGCCACTAATATCCCAAACCATAAAAACTCCAAATCTCTCAAGTGATAGCTCCCAGACCTTCAGGTTCTTTCTGTGTGATACAGCCAGAGCAGAGCCACTGCGATAACTACTTGCCAAAACATCAGTTCCTCTGACAACAGCTATATGCTCCTTTTCCTTATGCCTTACACTGACAAATACTTTCCTAGCCAGCAGCAAGCCTGTTTAAGGTGTTAAGCTGACTGAAAACTAGTCACTCCTTTAGCTGGGTTAGTTTTCTCTCTGTTTTAGGGCTCTAAGCTGTCAAGCATCAAATCCATCCCACACCAGTGCAGGGCAAGGGAAGCGAAGGGATTGTGCAGTCACATTCAAAGTGGCTTGAGGTGGTACAACCACGTCTTGAATCAGTTCAGTCTCTTCCATTTCTATATTGCATCAGTCCTACCTGCCTTTCTCTTCATTTCAGAGACCTTTCAGAGGCTCCCTCTCTATTATTAATTCTGCGGAAACGCACCATCTCCTGTGAGTGGCATCTGACCCCAAACTGCATGAACCGCTTTTTAGATTTTTCAAAGGAGCACCTTCCTATTTTTTCCTCTTCTGTTGGATGGGGCTTCACATAAATATCCAAAGAAGACCTCACTGTCTTCTTTGAAATTCCCCTTCAAAACAGTACTTTCATGTGTTTCCCACAAAGACTTAACAAAGGGGTATGTTAAGGCTATTGCCTTTTGTATTCTTCAGTATTCTTCCCCTGCTAATGTCAGTGTTTGTGCATGTATGTGCGCACCCCTTTTCCGCATCTAGCTGCTACCTTTTGCCTTGTATTTAGATTGCAAAGTCTCTGGAACAGGATCAGAGTTTTGTTCTGTGTCTGCAGGAACATGGCACAGTAGGGTCCTTTGTCCATCAGCTGCTGCATTACAGTAATAACAAAATAATCATTCCTTTCTCTCTCTCCAGAGGAGTTCTGCGCAAAACTGTCCAATGTTACATTCAATATTTTGAGCAATGAGGAAATTAGGAATGAATTCCAAGAACAGCACTGGAAGCATAATGTTTATTGGAATTCCGATGATGAAACCCTCCTCCCTCTTTCCACCACAAGAAGGGCTTAATGAATTGCCTCCCTGTTTTGCAGTTGTTGGTGGTTAGGGACACTACTGATGGAGAGCATCCCTTTCTCTGCCGAGCCTTCCTTAAACTAGTTATAAATGATATTTTCATCCCACTTACAACAGTCTTCCTATTATACTTCAGTAACACTAAGACTGAATTCTCATATATGAGGGAGTTAAAAAATGTCCTTTAATGTTTCTCTGTGAAGCTTCAATTAATTTGATCATTGTTATCTTCTTTCTTAATACCCTTGATTCTTTAAGATGTTGGGCTATATGACCTGTCAATGTCCCTTCTTTCCCATGTTTCTATTCCAGCAGAATTTCAAGTTTTAGTGGACAAGGCTGAAGCCATTATGTTAACAAGCCATCTGGTGTAAAAGTTCTGTACTCAGGGTCACCGCGTTTCAGAAATTTCTTAAATCCCAGAATTTCTTGCAGGAATGGAGGGCATCCTGCAAGTCGAAATATGTAGCATCCACACTGAGGAAACACTCTTACTTAGGAAAGTGTGCGAATGTCAGGTTAATGCAGTGTGCCTCTCCCCAAAATAAACCACATACCAGTAACCAAAACCAAACTTACTTCAGTCTGAGGCTCTGGACTTGGATCTTGGCACATCTGGCACACATATATACTGGCATACTCACACCTAAGAATTTAGGATTGACTTTTACCCTTTTCCAGCCCAGCTTCCACATGGGTGATGCCCAAGTGTGACCGGAGGAACCGTGCAGTTACCCCAGCTGGAAGGCAGCAAGGGGCAAGTGTGCTCCAGCAGTCAGGGCTAATGGGACCTCCACAGCTCTTTCACCTCCACCTCCTCTCCAGAAAATGTGCCGCTACGTATCTATCACAGAGCTTCACGTCAGCTGTACACCTCCATTTCCCCACCAGTCTCCCTTCCAAGGTATTCAGGGATGTGTTGCTGAGCCATGCCGGCTGTGCAGTGGCCTGTGCATTCCTCTTTTGCAAGCAAGCTGATTCAACTTACTGCCTCTTCAAAACCATGTCCCTCTGTATTATCCCAAGGGACAACTGGAGTGCTAGCTTTTGCTTCATGCTTACTGTTATTGAATGCACCTGTAAGACTGTTAGAAACACTCCTGGAGTACTAGCATCAGCTCTGTATAGTCCGAACTCCAAGTATAAAAGTCCCTTTCCTTGTCCCACAGATAAACAAATCCTTCCACTTTGCTATCATTTAAAGATGCACAAAAAGCAGAAGCAGCAGCTTCTCAGAATGGGGGATCATCTGTGGTTGTTGGCAGACCTTGTAGTAGCAGCAAATACGGGGCGAGAACTTGAACAGAAAAGTGAATAAGCGCAAGTACACTTTCCTCTCTACCTAAACGAAGGAGAAAAGGCTTTTGCTTATGTTTAAAATCTGTAGTTGGTGCCTATTTTGCTGTGATATTTGGAAGTACATCATTTTGTAAATACTATTTGATGAGTGCTAGTCTGATACTTTATCTAGCCCATTACTATAATGAAGCCCTTCAAAAAAGAACACATCATAAAGATAAGCAAATGAAGTGGTTGTTGAAATTATTTTTGTTTTTCTTTAAACCTAGGATCCTGGCATTTGTTTAATTTGCTACTCATGGATTTTGTGGCTCACATTTTCCTGTCCTATATAGAGGAGGAAGGAGATGAAAGTTTCTGGGTAGCAAAGCAAAACGAGTCCCCAGTTCTGTGGGTTTATGAGCCCAGCCATCTCTGGGGCTGTTTTGCGGAGAAGCAACCTCAAGCCAATGCTCCACAGACAGCTCTCATAACTTTGATGGAGAGCCAGAGTAACTTCGGATTAAGCAACGTTTTTCCAGCGTTCTGAGTTGCTCAGTGGACACAACCACAGGCAACAAGGTGAAATAAACATTAACTTTAAAGATTATATATAAAAAAAAAAAAGTTATTAATTGGGTAAACTGGGAGGGACTGGTAGGGGTGTGGTTGGTTGGGTATTTTTATGTGTTTAAAGTAAAACTAATGAAATCTATCTAGGTTTGTATGGAGCTGTGTCCAACGTCACCTAAACCTCAAGCCACAAAGCACCTTCCACATCCCGCCCCCACCCCACGATCCTATCAAGGGCTTGGAATCTCCACACCACCCACCTCCCCATCACTGCAGTTTCTTGGTTCTTAGGTTTCCAGCAGACCTTTGGTGCTGCTTCAGATTCCCCAAGCGTTGTCCAAGCAAGAGCAGCGCTGTTCTGGTGGGTTGGGTGCAGCTCGTGGGCTAGCTAACAAACAGGCTACATGTGTGTATTGATTGAAAGAGAGAACGCATGGCATGAGGTTTTTCCTTGCTGTTGGAGGCACGGAGAGGCTCTCTTTCCTCCACCTACCTATTAGTTTTATCAAAACATGCAGAAGTATGAAATCCTGGAGACCTTTCTGCTCCACCAGACTTCCTTGCAGTCAGTCCCAGCATAAGGGATGACATACAGGTGGAAAACAAGACAGACTCTAAGTCTTCCTAGGATACAACGCTAAATATAGGGACATATGGGAACATGGATCAAGCCTCTGTGCTCAGTACAAGTGATGAATTAGACATTCAGCTGTTTTCTGATTTCTCTTCCATGCAGTAACAGTACTTGTCTTAAATCTCAGAGAATATTGTGTCTTCCAGAAAACAGTGCTGGACAAATGTTAATGGCACCAAGACTCACAAAGAAAATCACATTTCTGGGGTTATCCTGCTATAGTTATTTTACTCCCGAGATGTATTTAGCTTCCATAAACTTGGACCAGGACTGGAAATGGACTATTTTAAAAACATCGTTGTTAGTTATAAAGACCTTTGGTGGATGTTTGTTTTTTAAATATAGCATATGCTAAAGCTTAGCTCAGCAATGAAAATTGGAGGGGAGAAAGAAGGCACAAAGAGAACAAACCAAGAATGATTTATATATGTAATGGGCATGTTTAACAGCTATTGTTCTTTTTCAAGTGTAATATAATGACCCATCCTGCCATACCACCTTAACATCAAAAAACAAACTGAGCTGGGTGCAGGCTATGAGCAAGGAATCTCTAAACCACTGATGGTCAGAAATTAGGAGATAAACCAGTAAAAATCTTATTCACTATCTGCCCTGCTTCCTAAGCTCTTTCACTGTACTGCCCATACGGGCTTTTGTATGGCCCACTACGCCCACTGCAGTGCTCTTATGCAGGTGTCAGCAGACATGGGTTTGACCCAGGTTTTGTCTGTGTAAGTGACGTGCCTGTAAATATGTCCCTCAGTTTTGTGTATTTTGTACAGGATCTCAAAAACAGAGCGAGGCTGATTAGAGTGAGGGGCGAGGGGTGGCAGGGTATAAAACATGAAATGGGGAGTATGACGGCTTGAAAGGAGGTATGGAGGAGTGAAGGAGACAGTGAAGGATTGGGAGAGTGTAGAAAGACCTTAGAGATTAAAGATCCCAACAGCTGATGGATTCTACCAGTCCATGTGCAAGATGCTGATAGTGGTGAGATAAGAGATGCTGGTAAGAGCCTGCTGATGCTATGGTTCAAGGGTTTGCAGTTTGTGAGGGAGCTGAAAAACTTGAACCTGCAGCTCAAAAGAGTCTGAGGAGCTGTGACAGACTGAGTGAGCACTTCTGCCTACTTGTGTCCTTCAAACGGGTGGTAGCTCCCACCCCAGCCATTGCAGGCTCCTTCTTCTCGAGCGTCAATACTAATTCCACAGGTCGCTGAAAAACACAGCTGCCAAAAGCGTCTCCATCACCCACCACTTTGTATCACCATCTCTGTAGATCCTCTGAACAGATTCCCATCGCTTGAGGATTTATGTTCTGTGACTTTTGATTACCAAAAATCGTCATCATGCTCCCGAGCAACCATCTGTCCCTGCTCCTGACTAATCCCCCTTCGGCCACCGCCCGTTCTGCGGGGTATCTAAACCCTCAGCGGCCTTAGCGGCATCCACCAGCCACGCTGCTGTTTCCTGGACCGCATTTCTGCTGCCTGACATATCGCTCTGTGCATCACGGGTACATTTCATAATTTTTTCCTTTTAACTCCTTTACCTCATGCAGCCTCTGCAGCTCTCTGCGACCCAGTGTCTTTCATCGGTTCCCATCCTCCACTCCGTCCTCTGCCAACAACACCAACCTCCGTATCTTTTTCATCTTGTCCCACAAGGCATTTCTATGCCTTCTCTACAGCCTGTTATGCTTGGGAAAAAAATCTGTTCATCGCACCTCCACCCTCATCTCATTGAAATTAGTGCTAAAAACTCAGTTTTGCTATGAAACCCTGGAAAAACGAGAGGGAGGGCTGGTAACAGAAATCAGAAAAGAATCTCCCAACCTTGCCCTGATATCAGCAGCATCAATACGTGTCTGTGGCTTAGCAGATCCCTTCATGATCTTTTAGTTGTCACCTTCATTCTTCCTCTTCCTTCCCCATCTGTTTTTGGCCCTCCATTCTTTGTTCATGCTGAATATAAATTACACTCCTCAGCAGAGAGACCATGTTTTTCCATTTATTTTGAACAGTGCAGTACAGTTCTGAATCTTTTTTTTTATTACAATTTAAATCATGAAAATAATTTCTAATGATCTTGAAAATGGAATACATTCCAAGTTGGTGATATCTCCCGAGGAAAACATTATTTTTATGTGAAAAATTGTAGAGGGCATGGAGTGAGACAATACAAAATTTGAACACAGTGCCTTAATGGGGAGTGTGGCAGATGAAATGCTATATAGCCAAATGCACGTAGTATGAACTAAGAATTGTTGAAACTGGTGGCAGTAACAAAGATGCTCTGAGTGAGCTGTAATCTGTAAGAGTGCAGCTCAGAGAACATTGGCTCCATCTTTATTCTTTATCACAGAGCTTGCAGTTGCTTTCTCTCAGCACAAATAGCATTTTTTCATCTAGAAAATCCCATTCTAGGCTTCCTCTCTTTGTCCACTGGTTACCAAATTAAAATCCCATTAAACAGCACACCTGCAGTGGGTTTATCTGCAGAGCACCATGCTGCAGCTTTTAATCCAATTCCACACCTTCATAACATACAATGTACTGCAAATCAGGGCGCGGAGAGACTGAGGCTATGCTGCTGTTCATAGCTCTCTTGGCAGAGAGCAAATCAAATGCTTTGATTTGTTAAAAAAGGAGAAAAAATAGTTAACTACTTCACTTAAGTGTTCATCAGAGTGGTCTGTTTAATCCAGGATACAGAGATCAAGTGAAATCATTAACTAAAATGATCAAAAAAGGAGAGTAAAAATTTGACCCTGCTTCAATTCAGTGGCAAAACTTCTGCTGATTTTAAGAAAGCCAGGATTTCAGCATGAAAAAGCAGTCCCCATCAGGGGGAGAGCCAGGTTGAGGCTATTTGTTTTGAAAAAGAATAGAAAGGCTTATAGCAGACATATAAAATGTGAATGATGTATTAAAAAGTGGATGTGGCCTCCTATCAGACCTTTGCCACCCTTTGCGAAAACCCAATGTGTATCTTCTCTTGCTGGGTTAATTGATGTAAAATAAGGTTGGGTATCTATAAAATACCTTGGGTTCAGCAGGAAAGAACTGAGAAGACTTTTTTATTCAATGATGGCAGAAACAAATGATTTACAGTTCCTACAGTAAAAACATTTCCCTGTTTCTTTTCTAATTTCCAGCTTATCCAGGTCATTTTCAAAGAGTGAATTACTAAAACTTTTACTCAGTTGGATCTTCAAGTCTGAAGGGAAGCACGTCTCTATTCAAAAAGATGGACATACATTTTTTTGCCTCTGATGGACACAACTCTTCAGAGAAAACCAGCCTGACTTGAAAATTCTTTATGCTAGATCATTCTTACTTTTTGATACAACTTTAAGAAATACTGTTTTCGTTCTCTTAAATTTAAGATCTTTTTCTGGAAATGCTAAGTGCAAAACTGTGCTAGCAACACAGTTATTTTAAGTTGTCACATGATTTGGTTGTTTGACTTTATTTGAATAAATCGTCAGAAGAAAAAGGTGAAATATTTGTTGTTGGTTTTACATATTCCTTGTATTTTTTTGTCATCAGTAAAGCTGAAGGCCTGCCTGAAGTCATTGTGGTAAATTTACCCGGCAGCTACAGAACAGATGAATGACTCTGTGTCAATGCTGCTTTGTGTCTACCATGCACAATTTAAAATTTATATTTATTGCATATAGAATTTAGCAATAATCCGTATGCCTTGAGAAATCCCTGCTTTGTTTCTCATTTCTGCAGGATACAAGAGTCAGTCACATATAAATCTATTAACTGAAATAAAACAGGTTGTATATAATGTTACTGATTTATGTTAGAAACTTGGTTGTTTGAACTTGATCTATAAGCAAAGTGCAAGCAAAGACTCTTATAAAGAGAAATCCTGGAATAAATTTGTATGAAATAGTAAATACAGAGTATGAAATTTGTATCTTGCATACATTAGATTGAATGAGGAAATTCCCTGAAACACCAGGGAAATTACGTTTTTAAATATTTTTGAAGAGTACATCTGCAGGGAGTTGACTGAGCCTAGTTGTTATTTCAAGAAGAGATAACTGCTTCGTTATTTTAAGAATGGCCATTTCCTGAACTAGAGAAAAGCACTTGTGAGGAGTTTAGCAAGCTTTCACTCATTTTAGTTTTGGAAATCTGCATTTCTTTTCCACCTGCATCTACGTTCTTCTGTCTCAGCTCAGGTGCTGAAGTGCGAATCAATATTCAAATGGGTGGTATTACAGCACATGTAGACAGGGCCATGTGCTAAACGAAAAGGTAGCCATACATTCAATTCTGCTGATAAGATTAAGAACTTGGTAGTGAAATTACGCACTCTGGGTAAGTATCTTCACAGCCGGGAAAATTCATTTGGGCCTTAAGGTCCCTCTTTTCACTAACCTTCAGGTTTTTATGGTGAAGATAAAAAAACAGGGGGGGGTCTAGGAAAATACACACTCAATATTTTCCAGTCCACTTTTATTTACAAATGTTTATACGCTAGATTGGATAGGCAGCATATTCTGATAGAGCAATCAAGCAGAAGTTGTAACAGCAGGCTGACCTTGTGATCTGTTCTGCTACGGAAAGGTAAGGTCTGAGAACCTTGTGAAAGGCAAAGGCTCCTGCGAGATTCATTCCTTCTTGTCTCCTGTTGAACTCCTTAAATATTTTGCATGAATACAATGAAAGTGTACAAGCGTACATTTTAGAGAATTATAAGTTGGCATTGTCATACTGAAGGGGTCTACTGCCAAGAACTGAAAAGGAGCAGGATGCAAAAGCTCCTTTACTAGACTGGGCCATTGACATAAATTCAAATACATGTTCAAATTTTTGCCTAATTAAAACCTTGCCTGGGAAACACAGCGTTTAATAGCAGCTCCACGCACTCACGCATCGGGTGGGACCCCACGAGCAGTGGCACCAAGGACGGCTGTCTTCTGGGACTTGGGGCCACGCTGTTGCTTGACCCCGGCATCCAAACGAAGCTTCCCCTGCAAACGGGAGTGTTCGCATGGGCACGCTCCCTCGTGGATTCTCTCTTCTCGAATCAACAAAGAGATCGCATGGCTTCTGCCCCGACAGTTTCACACGTCTGGATTTGCACATTAAGTACATCTGGAGAATTATTTGATGAAATACCTGCCTGCCCTCACGCCTGGCCGAGCCGCTCCAGCAGCCTCCCAGCAAACGACACGCAAACGCAGGGCAAACCCGCGGCGGGGCCCTCGGCGCACCCACGCCGCGGGTGGCTGCCCCACGGGTGTCACCAAGGCCACAGTGGCCCTCACCGCACAGGGTTGGCAAGGGGGGGGGGGGGGGGGGGGGGGGGGGGGCGGTGGAAAATGACCCCCCCGGCTAAAGCTGGGGCGGGGAGGGGGGGGTGAGTACAATATTTGGGAGCACCGTGGGGGTGGCGGGGGTGGGGTGAGTACAATATTTGGGAGCACCGTGGGGGTGGCGGGGGGGGGGGGTGATTACAATATTTGGGAGCACCGTGGGGGTGGCGGGGGGGGGGTGAGTACAATATTTGGGAGCACCGTGGGGGTGGTGGGAGGGGGGGGTGAGTACAATATTTGGGAGCACCGTGGGGGTGGCGGGGGGGGGGTGAGTACAATATTTGGGAGCACCGTGGGGGTGGCGGGGGGGGGGGGTGAGTACAATATTTGGGAGCACCGTGGGGGTGGCGGGGGGGGGGTGTGATTACAATATTTGGGAGCACCGTGGGGGTGGCGGGGGGGGGGGGGTGAGTACAATATTTGGGAGCACCGTGGGGGTGGGGGGGGGGGGGGGGTGAGTACAATATTTGGGAGCACCGTGGGGGTGGCGGGGGGGGGGGGTGAGTACAATATTTGGGAGCACCGTGGGGGTGGCGGGGGGGGGTGAGTACAATATTTGGGAGCACCGTGGGGGTGGCGGGGGGGGGGGGGTGAGTACAATATTTGGGAGCACCGTGGGGGTGGCGGTGATGGGGGGGGTGCTGTGCGTGGGGGGGGCGTTGCGGGGCGGGCGGCGGCCGCAGGAGGGTGCTGCGGGAGCGGCGCGGCCCGCGCCTGCCGCAGAAGATGTCGGCGGGGCGGCGGCGGTGGTGGTGGTGGCGGTGGTGGTGGTGGTGGCTGCCGGCGCTGCTGTGGGGCGGCGCGGGGGGTTACGTGGTGGTGAGCTCGGTGTCCTGGCCGCTGCCCGAGGCCGGGGGGGTGGCGGCGGACGAGCTGCACAGCTCCTCCACCGAGGAGACCCTCCCCGCGCTGCTGGAGGAGGCGGGCGGCCTGTGGAAGCAGAGCTACCCGGCCTCGGCTTACCGGGAGGACGCGGCCTTGGGCCCCGGGCCGGCGGGGCGGCGGCCGGGGCAGGGTCCGGGGGCCGCCCCGTCCCGGATGTTCTCGTACCGGCGGGAGGGCGGCGGGGCGCCGGGCCGCGCCGGCACCGCCCGCTTCCTCGCCCGCTACAACACCCGGGGCTTCCTGGCGACGCGGGCCGCGCGAGGCAAGGTACGGTGCTTTCCCCACGCCCGCGGGCCGCCGCGGTCACGCGTTACCCGCCGCGGTGCTGTGTGCCGGCAGCCGCCCGCTGCGCGGGGAAAAGAGTGGAAACTCGGGGAAGAGAAACCGCGTTTGGAGTAGGGTGAGGGAGGCGCCCTAAAAACCGCGCCGGGGAGGCAAAAGCTTTAAGGCAGAAGCGAGGCCGTGGGGTTTGGAGCGGGGCTCTGCTCGCTCCTCGCAGCGCCCTGGAGCCGGCTGCTGCCCACTCCCCGTGGGGTGAGCGGGGCCGAGCCCCCGCTGCCTCCCCTGGGCTGTCACCCGGCCAGGAGGAGGAGGAGGAGGAAGAGGAGGAGGAGGAAGGGAGGAGGAGACCCTGCTGGGCTGCCACAAAATCTGTCTGTCCCGCCGCGGTCCGGCAATAGCAGCTTAAAGGACAATTTCTCTGACAGAAGTATTAAGCAAAAGAGCTGGGCTGCACTGGAGAAGCGGGGTCATTATTTTTTTTTTTTTTCCCCAGCTTTAAAATATTTCCCTTTTTAAAATGAAAGGTTGGAAGGAGACACAGCATCCAATACCACTCACACACACAACAAAAAAAAAAAAAAAAGGGTTGAAGCACATGAACCTTCTGAAAGCTTGGCTGAGTTAGTGACAGTTTATGTTATTGTGAAATAAAAAGCAACAGGTTAAAAAAAGATACCATTAAATAATTATATACATACACACAAGAGGCATGTAATTCTACATCAGTTTGTCAGAAATCCTATTAAATCATATGATCTTAACTTTTCTGGTTGATGGTCATGCCAGAAACCTCAGTGGAGTTACAGCCATAACACAGTCTGCAGTTAGCTGTCTAGTTACAACTCAGAGATAGCACAGAAAAATCTGATTCATAATAGAATTTGGAATTGATAAGGGGGGTGTTGCTGCTCTGAATGCTGAGTTATGCTGCCTGTGTTCCCAGTTCTTTTTGAGCATCCACTGTAACATTAACCATGCATGACAGACTGAGTGTACTGTTCATACTTAATTTGATTTTGCTGTAGAGGATTTACCAGTTGCATTGAATTAACACATTGACCGATAATTTTGCTATTTAACATCTAATTGACCATGAGGAAAGAAATATCTGAAAACGAAAAAATAGGAATTCATTAAATATCTGTCATTGTGATTTATAATGGGATGAAAAGCAAGGTAGGAGTATAAATCGTTATGAGGAATATTAATGTGTGTCACTACTGGGCAGGGACATTTTTGCATGCGTTATATCCACTGTGTGTATGCAGGTCAGTGTATGGGAGAAAACTTTCTGAAAACTTGGCTCCTTGGTGTCTCTCCTGACAGGGAGGAAGGTTCCTACCCCAGCAGCTGAGCTGATGTCCATCTGGACTTCAAACAACTCTAGCTAAAATGCCTTCCTCTCACTTCCTTGGCAAACTGATGCAATCACATTGCAAATCAGGGCCAAAAGGGGGGGGGGGGGGGGCAAAATTAGTGTAAAAGTCAGCGTGATTCAAGGCTAAATTAGGCTCTGTATCCTTTTGGGTTTGAGAAAAGGCATCGGGACTGGTTTAGAGTAAACATTTCTTGACGCTGATGGCATTGATTTTCATGCACTTAAACATTTTTAATTTGGTAGTTCCTTTAAGCTCAATGGAAGAGAAAATGTTCTCTGTAGTGTCATTGACAGAACTGGAAAAAAGAAATAGAGGAGAGATCTGTTTTTATAGAGCTGTGATAGATCTAATTTAGAAGAAGGTCTGTCTCACGATGACAGCAGAAAGGGGGAGCAATTGAGGGTTGCTGTCCTCTCTGCTAGAGCCCTTGAGGGAATCCCCGACATTGTCAACTGTCTGTGAGCAAAGATGTAACCAGTTGCTTGTTTGGATTTTGCAGATCCAAGGTATGCCCTATGGGAACTGTTTACTTCTCAGTGATGGTCCCGTCAATAACAGCACTGGAATCCCTTTCTTTTACGTGACGCCAAAGGACAACAGTGTGGCAGATCTCCTGAAGAATCCCGTGGCTTCTCTGACGCTGCCAGAGGCAGATGGAAATTTCTGCAGGTAAGAGAGTTTTATCTGCCTACTACCACGTTCAGTGAGAACAGAGTCCTAAGAAAAAAATGCTGGGTCCTCACCTTCAATATCCTGCTTTTATTTTTGCCTCTCACCATCAGCTACATGCTCCTCCTTAGGTTTGTTTTGCAGTAAATTGCCCCAGTAAGGCATGGTAAAAAAAAAAACAAACAAACCAGAAGTGTCACTGAAGTATGTTGTAGCATCAACAGCTGGAGTGGCTTTCAGCTCACACATCAACATACCTGCATTTTAATCTCTTCCTGGAGGTGCCTACATAAAATCTAGGTGCTCGAGATCCTATTATAGGCCACGGTGATCTAGTCAATACAGTCCATAGAGTTTCGAGGGCTATCCAAATCACAGCAGACACCTTTGCTCTGCTGAACAGCTCTGGAGGCCCTGCCGATTGCCTTGGTGATACTCTAGCTCTCCAGGGTCTGTGAGGGGATCTCGGGCTCTCAGTTCACAAGTTATACCACTCAGGACCATGCTGCTCAATCTAATTTCTACCTCTTCTGAGGGTACGATTGAATATGATAATAATTGCAAATTTTTGATGCCTTGTGTATCCTAAACAGTCGGTAAATGATCCCCCACACAAAGGAAGCCGGGTCTGAGATTTCCTGATCTACAGCCAGCCCCAGGTTCCTGTCTGCAGAGATAGCAGTGAGTTGACTTCCTCCTAATCATACGTACAATGAATAACTCCAGATCACTGAAGCTTTATGTGTGTAAAATGTATATATGTAAACTCCAAGATGATCCATTTCTCCCCTCTGTGCTTGTCTCCTTGGAAAAGACGTATCTCTGCCATATGTTTGTTTACAGTCAAACATGTGGCAAACTTGGCTGGGTCACCCTTGTGTGAAGTGTTATTTCCAAAGGCCTCCTTACGTGACGAGGTACACGACACTGAAATTGTGTCAGACAGAATTCTGTTACCAAAGCAGATCTTAGCTGATATTCCAAGGAGAGAGAAGAACTAGAAATTATAGGCTGCTTCAGAAAGAAATGGCATTGAAAGTTTTTACCCCAACTTAAGGTCCTCTTTAGGGGAGAAGAGGTTTATCTTGAGAGCTGGATCCCACATTTCCCCAGCTGGGGATTGCCTTGGTTATCATCCCACCTCTCAAACCCTGAGAACAACACTGGAAAAAAGCAGTGAATGGCAAATACGAAGCGCATTGCTGTTGCACCTGTCTGTGTTTGTCTCCAGAATATACTGTTTTCTTCAGAGTTATATGGTGGCAAAATTAAATCTTTCTTAGTCCTAAGCAGTAAGAGTGATTTCAGGCTGACATCCCATTCCCAAGGAATGGAAGTCATGGCTTCCTCTTGCGAAGTCACACACCTAATAGGAATCTTCCATTGCAACATTTGTTAAGGTAATTCAGCTTTCAGTGCTTGAGGAGTTCAACAGAGTTGACCGGAATGAACTGGAGTGAACTAGAATGGTTCTACTTGTTCCTTAGAATTATTTCATTAAGTATTTTGAATTAATAATTTAATAAATAAATGCATCACTTCGTAACAGGCTAATGGAACTTATTCCTGCTTTCTCAGCTTTTTCATTCAATCAAATAGTGAGCAGAGTATCTAGACCAAGTGCTTAAAAATGTATGTTAAGTCCTATGTCCTAGCACCTACGCAATGCCCTATTTTCAGAGGCTTAAGACTCAGAGCAGCTTCCATTGATGATAACTGCTGGTGTTGCACACTTCTGAAAACTACACACCCATGTAGGCACTTAAGTGTGGCCTTTCATCCCTCACTTTAAACAGCCATTCTTGAAAGCCTTGTGCCTTTTATGCTTTAGCAATGTCACTGCCAGATTTACCTGTTTGGGAAGTGTCAATTCACCAACAAAAGAGAACTGCTGCATGATTTATAGAAATATGAAATCCATATACATCACAACCCCTCGAGAATATTTATTCACTGTCTTTCTGTTAAGTAGCTAATAATTTCCAAACCACTACCCTTTTGTTCCGTGTGCCAGAATGTGCTGCTGTTTGTCTTGCAGCTGGGGCAACCTGGATTCTGCCACCCGACTCTCTAGTCCCCTCCGCAGCCTGAGAGCACGCTTGCTGGTGGGAAGAGCTCTCTGGCCACCAAGGAGCTAAACCTGGATTTCCAAGACATCTTAAGCCAAGTTAATTACCAGTTGCCACACCCCTACTCTCCTTCCCTACCACCAGTTGCTTGGTCCCCCCCTCCCCGCCGTCTCTCTCACATTAGCTCTGGGCTTCGCCTGACTCTGATTTGAAACATAAGTCTGAAGAAAATGAACCCGACAATGAGACGAAGGTTTTCTGCCAGTCCTTCTTCCTTTCTTCCCATAGCCGCTGCTGCTCCTGGCCATATAATCCCACGTCCTCCCTTCAGCTAACCATATGGTGGGCCTATTTTAGCTCAGTAACCCAGCAGAAAGCTCTTCCTTTCCCTTTATTTTTTTTTTTTTTCTGGATGAGGTTTCTACTGGGCTAGTGACTTGAATCAGCTCCCCAGGAGCCAGAGGAGTGCAAAGGAGAAGGGAAGGGAGAAGGTGAAGGAAGATAGGACATCCTTATTTTACCATGTAACCGTACTCTGAATATTGAGCTTACTACTGAATTGAGTACACAGATTCAGAGTCTGATCAGCGCTCCTTGCAATATTTATTTTGTTCTTACATTCAGTTTGTTTTTCATTATTTCTGGAGTTCTCATCTGGAACAGATGTTGGCTGGCATTAGTGCAAAGAACAAGCAATAATGGAGAATGAAAAACTGGGACATTTGTTGAGCTGCAGTTTGTGCTCTTGATGATAGCTAGGAAAATGTGAGCAAGCTGTCTCACAACCAGGAACCATGTGGGCACAGGGACTTTAACTTTCTCCTTTCTCTGCCTCCTGTAACCAAGCATCCCTTTTGGGGTGAGATAGCCAGGCTGCGCCACGCAAACAGCACGCCGCATCGTCAGTGCTGAGCTTTGAGTGGTGGCTCGGGTTCTGTGTGACAGGCTTCCTCCTCTTCACTTACACTGTATGAGAGGCAAGACCTTTTACTCTGAGAGACCTCAGGACCTGTTAGTATAAAAATGGTATCTGTGAAGTTTTCTTTGCAAAGGAAAGTGTCATTTATAGGTGGTTTTACCACCAGAGGTTCTCTTGGTCAAGAGTGTCATTAATTGTTTGGGCTTCAAAATTATTACACATAATAGCTAAATGAATAATGCTCAGCATGAGAAAGTTCATGGCCTTGTATACCAGCAACGTATTTGTAGCTTGTTTTCATGTGGAATTTTATTAGAATTTCATTATTAACCTAGTCTGAGTTGCAAGAATTAAAATAAAAGTGAAAGCCGGTCGATGCCTGCAGTCAACGCTCCTGGGAGTATTTGGCACTCTCCTGAAAAATGCTTCTGACCTACTGCATGCAAAAGAAGTCTCTGTCCTTTAGAAAGAAAACATAGCTGATATTTCAATAGTCGTCTTGTATCTAATGAGTTTCAAGTGACTTGTGTGCGTGTACATCAGTTTGATACTAAATTTATTTAGTAGCAAATTTAATTTGTTTTGTTTCAGAACAGACCCAAGTTCCAAACCTTGACAATAAATATTTTCACTTTCAGGGATGTGAGGAATACAGAGTGGTCTTTTTGGTGCTCCAGCTTTAATATTTAACCAGCTGGTGAGAAACTTTGAGAAGCCTAATCTAATAAGAGAAATAACATTTAATAATGAAAGAAAAAGTGCTGCGATGCATCTGAATAGCCACTAATTGCAAGACATTATAATGTTGCAGCTACAGTCTGGATTCCTCATCTCTGACCCAGAGATTGCCATTTCCCAGAAGGAGACGGGCTGCACTTCTCTGAGAAGGCTCTCTGACGGCCAGGCTACAGAAAGCATTCGTTAGCAACTATCTGAAGGCTGATAAATGGATAATAGAGGCAAAAAAAAATTAAATGGTTCAAGGCTATAAATAGACTAAGCTGGCATGTCTATGCCACAGACAAGCTGAAAAGATTGAGTCCCATTCTTAGAGCTTTCAGAGGGAGCAAGACCAAGCCTGACATTAAAGAATAGAGCTGCTATTGTTCTAAACACATTTCCCAACACACAGGCTGCTCAGAGGATCTCCCTTTCCAAGTAAGCTCCTGGGCCTCCCTCATTACAGCTGCAGTCTGGAAGATGGGCAATTAATTTTAAACGTGTGTCTCCTCCTTGACATCAGGTTCAGCACATTTGTAAGGACCAACTGCAGCTTTCTTAGAGAAGGAGCAGTTACACGGCTGCCATGAACTGGTTTTCACACAAGGGAAAAAGAAAGAAAAGCAGTGAACTCTGGGGTCAGTCCATGTGTCTGTTTTTCTTTGCTATTAGTTTGGAGGATGGTGTTTCAGATCCACACTACAGACTGTGAATGATTTTGAGGAAGCCTCAGAATTTTTGAGGTTCCTCACCTGGTTCATGACCACATCAGGGGTGGCTCCATCAGAGCCATTTTACCCACCAGGCTCATCCACTGCTCGAGGTAGCAGATCGGCACAACCGGAGAGACGCCTCCAGTAGGTACAAGCTGGCTCCTTAGGTTTCCTAAACGCTGCATCGAAAAGGCTGACAGGAAGCTCTGAGCATCTCCAGCCCTCCCAGATACCAGCAGGCCATGGGAACAGGCAGGTAATTGGGTGGGTTAGGGTCCCTGCTGCGTGGTTGATCGGCAACTTGCATAAAATGCCAACTTCATCGCCGGGCAATCCTGAGCCTGACATGGGTGGCAAACACAACTTTTGAAACATCAGTTGGCCATCCAACATATAGCTACCCCTGGGTTTGTAGAGACACTGTCTGTTAATACGAGGATGAATATAACAAAGAAATTGGGCACTGCGCCTTCACACAGAGAGAAGTGATGCAGGCTGAAGACAAAGGCTGAATCCAGACATCCCTCAATTTTTGAGATCCACCTCCTGGTTCTGTGGCACAGACATATTTCTTGTTCT